GAACTGGGTTTGTGACATTTTACAGATGTAGCATGACCCTGGGAGAAACATTGTTTCCGGTTACCTTTGCAGCTGCCTTTGTCTGTCTGTTAGGTTAGCCTGATTCATGGCAGGGAAGATTTTTCCTTTCTCAATTTGACTTGATTTTTACTTTCTCAGTAAAGTGCCTGGAAGGAGAATTATTTGGGTCTTTATAAAAATATCACCAGCTACTTTGCAGAATATAATACACCATCGATGAATACAATAAAAAATTTTTCTGTTAAAAACAAACAAAAAACCCAAAACATTTGTACCTTTTTTTTTTTTTTGTACCCAAGTACTTTTAGGTCAACTACATGATTCTTTCAAAAGTATCTTGGCCAGCCACAGTGGCTCACGCCTGTAATCCTAGCATAAGTTGGGAGGATCACTGGAGTCCAGGAGCTTGAGATTAGCCTGGCTAACATAGTAAAACCCCGTCTCTACTAAAAATACAAAAATTAGCCGGGCGTGGTGGTGGGCGCTTGTAATCCCAGCTACTCCAGAGGCTGAGGCACGAGAATCCCTTGAACCTGGGAGGCGGAGGTTTCAGTGAGCCGAGATCGCGCCACTGCACGGCATCCTAGGTGACACAGCCAGACTCTGTTAAAAAAAAAATTATTAAAAGTGGCTTTTATATTAAGACAGACCCAGAGCCTGGTTTCAGAAATAATTAAAATATAATAAGATGACACAGGAAATGTGAAATGTCATGATAGAACAAATGCTTTCATTCCATGAGAAACTAAGAGATCAATGTGCTGAAAATGTCTGTTAGGAGGCATGTCGGTCAGCGTCCAATCAGGAAAACAGACACACTATTTAAAACAGAGGTTTAGTTTAGGGGATTCGCAATAAGAGAGGTTGGTAGGGCTGGCAAAGCAAAAGACCTAAGAAAGGAAGGGTCAGAGCCGGGGCGGGGCCAAAGCTCCCCAGCCTGGCGAGAGGCCATCATGAGTCCACACTGAAGTTACGGTTCTTGTAAGTATCATTGAATTAAAATCAAAATGTCAATCACAATCGAATACCAAAAAATACACAAATACTCCAGGGTAAGACTACTGGGTGGTAAGTTCAGAGCATGAACCTAGGCTCACAATAACCTAGGCTCACAGAAACCATAGCCTTGTGATTCTGAGTTGGCAATTAGTGAGAGTAGGAGGACCTGCCTCACAGGGTGGCCAGTAGGACCAGGGAAGACGTGGTTTGTGAAGGATGCGGATGGAGCCTGGTCTTGGCCACCGTCAGGAGCAGGAAGAGGGTGGGGTGCTGAGAACGTAAGGAAGAGAAGGAAAATTCCAAGAGGGGAACATAGGTCTGACTGCGCTCCGGAAACCTCCAAAGCCTCTGGAAACTGAGAGGAGAAAGGAGGTTGGAGTCAGCCCTGGGTTTAATACCTGCTCATCTCCTCCCTGGCCCTGGGAGCCCAGGAGCGCAGGTCTGTGAACTTGCTGAGCCTCAGGTTTCCCATGTGGAAAACCGAAGCATGTCTTTCCTGCAGGGCGGACGTGAACACTAGATGCGGTTCCCGTCTGCACCTAGCTCGCGCGGGCATGGATGCCAGGCTCCGGAAAAGGCGAGGTGTCCCGGATGGAGCCACCAGGGGGCGCGGCGCTCCTTGGCCTTGGCTGCGGCGAAAATGGCCAGGCTTGCAAACCGAGGAGTTGGTCAGAACCTCCGGGAGGCTCAGCGGCGAATCTGGAAGTGGTTAGGCGGGTGGGAGACCTCACTGAGGCGGGGTAAGGAGGCGAGGGGGGAGAGTCACGGGGGAGGAGGGAAAAAACAAGCGTGTCCGCGAGGCTACCCACGGGGACCTGGGCAGGGGCTCTGGCCCAAAGCCCTCAGAAAACGAACTCATCCCTTCTTTCTAGCGGTTTGCTGACCACCTACCTGAAGCCAGAAACGGCCGTGTGCAAAATCAGCCCCTCTACTGGCTCCTAGTCTTGCTAAGGAGGCTGACACGTGGACAAATGTCATCGATACGATGTGCAAATGAGAAGTCCTATAATGCCACCATGTCTGTAACTTTTATGGCATGCCATGTGTTGCATAATAATTATCCGATTTTACACAAAGCAAAACTGAGATTCGAAGGATTCACTCTTTCGCGAAATTCACAAAGCTAAGAAACAGTGGAATCAAGCTAGTTAGTCTATTATAAAGCTGTGTTCGTGCTTTACAGATCACTCCTCTTCTGGTAAAGCAACACAAAACAACCCAGGTCCTTGAAATCTCAGGCCGGTAGCCCTCAGCAATAGCTGACAAGCAGGATGGCAGTACCCTCCTGCACCCCCGGCCTCCCAGTCAGCCTCTTTCCTCTTCCCTGCTGGCCTTGCCCCCACCTGTCACCTTCACTGTGACCCGCATTTGGCTCACCCCAGGCACCGTGTTCCCAGTCACCTCCACCGTCCGTGGCCACAGCCTCAGCCTGGCCTTCTCATCGCTGTCATCTCTTTGGAACTGGGCGTTCACATGTCTTTCTGTGGACAATGCTGAGCCTTCCAGATCGTGGGCTCAGGTCCCCTGCTGCAGCTGTCACAGCCGCCTGCTGCCTGCACTACCTTCCTTCCTGCCCTAGCTACTCCCAGAAAATACCCTAAATGGCTGGGCGCAGTGGCTCACGCCTGTAATCCCAGCACTTTGGGAGGCTGAAGCGGGTGGATCACCTGAGGTCAGGAGTTTGAGACCAGCCTGGCCAAAGTGGTGAAACCCTGTTTTTACTAAAAATACAAAATTAACCAGGTGTTGTAGCATGCACCTGTAATCTCAGCTACTCTGTAGGCTAGGCAGGAGAATCACTTAGACCCTGGGAGGCAGAGGTTGCAGTGAGCCGAGAGCATGCCATTGTACTCCAGCCTGGGTGACAGAGTGAGACTTTGTCTCAAAAAAAAGAAAAAAAAAAAAAAAAAGAAAAGAAAAAAGAAAACATCCTAAATGTCTCTGTTTCCCCTTCTTCCATCACACCTGTCTCTACCTGGGATGAGCCTGCATCACACCTGTTTCTACCTGCTCCTGCCCACATCCAGGCAGAGTAACCCAGCCCCAGAAAACCATCCAGCAGGGCAGGTAGGAGTATGAAGGGGCTGCTGCCACTGGAGAAATTCTCCAGGGAGTTGAGGGAGTGCTCATTGGAGAGAGAGCCCAGGTAGCCTACCGAAGAGGGCGGAAGGCAGCTGCAGGGAGAGCCTTGCTACAGGCAGGGCCTAGTCAGGGACGGCAGCCCTTGGATTTAAGGCGGAAGCAATCCTTGTGAATGTTATTCAGCTGCAGAGATGAGTGCTGAATTTATCCAGGCTGGAGTTTGCCACGTGGTTCTGATGAAAACAGTGACGATGTTGAGAATACTGGCTGAAGTGACGGGGCACTGAATCTACAGAATGATGACCTGGGGTCGAAACGTGCTTGTTTACTTACTGTTTAGAAACCATACGTATCTTGAGGGCAGGGCCTGGCCGTGTTCTCCACTGCAGTTCCATCCTGCTGTCAGCCACTTTCCCGATCAAGTGCTCTGGCGGCAGGGGAGAAAGGCTGGAAGGGCAGAAGTGTGGGTGGAGGTGTCTGAGTGTGTGGTCAGAAGTGGGTCACCATGGAGATGGCCTGCTCCAGGGGGTGGCCCAGGATGTGGGAGACTAAGGTGGCATTGAGGGGGGTACTAACCTCTCTCAGTATGCTAGGATTTTCCTGCCTTTATGGCTGAAGTCTCAAGTTCCAGGAACCTCCCCATTCCTAGGTGAACCAGGCCAGTTGGTCACCCTAAGCGGAGGACAAGAATATCTTGGAGAAGCCAGGGTGTTGGCAGATGGTCTGTGGAAGCTACCCAGGATTGACCTCGTGGGCACACATCATTTCTTGCCATGCTTTACATGTGTGACCTCTTGTGCATGTTTTTCATCAGTGGGATGGGGCTTTTTCCTAGCCCTGAACTTCAGGAATAACACCTATATTTAAAATGGCAAATATTTCAAGAGTAGGAATACCAAAGTGTGGCTACACTGGCATTTTCACGTATGCAAATTAGGTGCATTTTACCCAGAGCCTTAAGAAAACAACAAAAGTAACCCAGCTAATTATTTCTTTTCTTTTTTCTTTTTCTTTTCTTTCTTTCTTTCTTTCCTTTTTTTTTTTTTTTTGAGATTGAGTTTCACTCTTGTTGCCCAGGCTGGAGTGTAATGGAACAGTCTCAGTTCACTGCAACCTCTGCCTCCCAAGTTCAAGTGATTCTCCTGTCTCAGCCTCATGAGTAGCTGGAATTACAGGCACCCACCATCAACCCCTGCTAATTTTTGTATTTTTAGTAGAGACAGGGTTTCACCATGTTGGTCAGGCTAGTATGGAATTCCAGTCCTCAGGTGATCCAACCACCTCAGCCTCTCAAACTGCTGGGATTACAGGTGTGAGTCACTGTGCCTGGCCTAATTCTTTCTTTTCTATTGGAAAATTAACTGCTGATTCTCTGTAGTTGTGTCTTTTTTTTTTTTTTTTTTTTAGAAATCTAGCAATGGTAATTTGTAGTTTGACATAAAAGGACTATATATTCATGTCATAATTTCATTTAATCAAACACACAAATCATATCAGGAATGAAATAGTCTTTGGTTAAATAGATCTAGTTTTGAAAACATTTTGCATTCTACATGCATTACATGGCACAATCACATCATTACAACTCAAATTTTACAATAATTGACTTTCTGTTACAGCAATCAAATAAGGATCAATAAATTATTCCAGAGAGGTTTTATTTTCAGAACAGTGTTTGATAGTTCAATTATTTAAATAAATACAGACATTTTGGAAAAATTTTAGAAATATCTTTTTTTTTAAGGGACAAGGTCTCACTCTATCACTCAAGTGTGGTGGCATGATCATAGCTCACTGCAACCTCAAACTCCTGGCCTCAAAGCAATCCTCCCACCATAGCCTCTTGAGTAGCTAGGACTACAGGTGTGCTGGGACTTTTTTTAAAAAAAGAGAAAAACAACATTCTTTGTAGATATGGGGTCTCATTATGTTGCCCAGGCTGGTCTTGAACTCCTGACCTCAAGTCATCCTCCTGCCTTTGTCTCCCAAAATGTTGGGATTACAGGCATGAGCCACCTCACCCAGCATAAATACTTTTCAACCAAAAAGCGACTATTTTAATAAACAGCCAATAAATACAAGGCATATTGAAACAAGTAAAATCAGAATTATACTCTATGTCAATATCATGGATATGTACAGTCACTATAAATAAAAACATGGTGGTCTGAATAGGCTTTAATTAGCTTATTCACTAAAACAGAATTGTTTTCCACAATATTTAGAGGAAGATTACTGGAAATATAGTTCTTCTCTATAAAATCAGTGGAGAATCATTATACATAGACTTGGATGCCTATATACCTATAGCTTACTCAACATATTTATATCAGAAATTTGAAGATGTCCTCTCCTCCTGAGTGACCCACTTAAAGTCTATACAGCAGATTTGCTGAATTCTTATTAATTTGTATTTAACATTAAACTGAACATATTTAGAAAAATTTTAAAGAATTTTACATCTCTTCAGCAAATGCATATATTAAGGGTTAACACATGAAATACTATCTCTTTGTACTAGATTTTAGCCTATAGCTCAGTTCCTCATTTATTAGGGACTAATAAGAGAGAGAGCATAAATGCTTTATTAAGCTAATCCTTAAATCTTGTTTATGTTAAGCTTTTTACTCAGAGATAATTGTAGATTCTGAGATAGTTGTAGATAATTGTAGATTCACATGCAGTCGTTAAGAAATACTACAGAGATCCTATGCTCTTTACACCTAGTTTTCCCCAATGGCACATCTTGCTAAACTCTACTACAATATTCCAACCAGGATTTTCACATTGATTTGGTCAAGATACTGAACATGTCCATCACCATGAGGATCTCTTGTGTCATCTTTTTACAGTTACACCCAACTCTCTTGTTCTCCGCACTCCTCCCTGGCAACCCCTTATCTAGTCTCCATTCCTATAATTTTACATTTCGAAATGTTATGTAAATGGAACCATACAGTGTGTAAACTTCTATGATTGGCTTCACTCTCTCAGAATAATTCTCTGGAATGCGTCCCAGCAGTTGTCCGTGTCAGTAATTAGTTCTTTTTTTGATTGCTGAGTAGTATTCCAGGCATGAGGGCACCACCCACTGCTTCACCAGCCACCTGTTAAAGGCCATTTGATTGCTCCCACTTTTTGAACGTTATCAATAAAGCTGATATGGATGTTCTTGCAGAAGCGTTTGTGCAAACCTCTTTTCATTTCTCTGGGATAAATTCTGGGCAGCAGCTTGAGGGTCAGTATGGCAGTTATATGTTTAGTTTTATAAGAAACTGCCAAATGGTTTTCCGGAATGGCTGTTCCATTTTACATTCTCACCACTAGTATATGCCTGTCCCAGTTTATCTGCATCCGTGTCAGCATTTGGTGTTATCATCATTTTTAAATTTTAGCCATTTTGGTAGGTATGCAGTGATAGCTCATGGTAGTATTAGTTTGCAGTTCCCTAGTGACTAGTGCTGTTGAATGTCTTTTCATATACTATTTGCCATTAGTATATTCTCTGCAGTGAAATGTCTGTTTATGTGCTCCATTTTCTAATTAAAAATTTTTTAACTGTTCAGTTTTGACAGTTCTTTACATATTCTAGATACTAATCTTTTGTTGGATGTGTGATTTGGAAATATTTTCTCTCAGTATGTAGCTTGTCTTCTCAGCCTTTTTAACATGGTCTTTTGCAGAGCAAATGTTTTAAATTCTGATGAAGTTTAATTTATCACATTTTCTTTTATGAATTGTGCTTTTGGTATTAAGTCTAAAAACTCTTTGCTTAGCCCTTGTTCCCAAAGATTTTCTATATTCTATAGTTTTATAGTTTTACATTTTATGTGTACAGATATGATCTCTTTTGAGTTAATTTTTGTATAAAGTATGTGTAGTCCAACGTTCATTTTGCCTATGGATGTCCACTTGCTCCAGTTTATTGAAAAGACTATCCTCTGTTGAATTCGTTTTGTACTTTTGTTAAAAAAAAAATCAATTGAGCTTATTTGTGTGGGCCTTCTAGATTCCCTATTCTGTTCCATCAAGTGTGTGTTTCTAGGCCACCAAATGCCACTTTCTTGAGTACTGTAGCTACATAATAACCCTTTGTATTAAATAGAATGATTTCTCCAACCTTATTCTGCTTTTACAAGATTGTTTTAGCTATTTCAATGCCTGTACCTTTTCAAATAACTTTTAAAATAAGCTTGTATAGGTCTACAAAATCCTCACTGGGATTCTGATAGGAATGGCATTAAACCTAGAGATAAAGATGGGGAGAACCGATCTCTTTATTGTTTTGTATCTTCCAATCCAAGAATGGTATCTCTTTTTCTTTGTTTAGATCATTAATTTCTTTTCTTAGCATTAAAAAATTTTCACTACACAGGTCCTGGGTAAGTTTTGTTTATACATAAATATTTCACTTTGGAGTGATTGCAAATGGTATTGTGTTTTCAGTGGGCCCCCCTCCCCCACACACATGTTCATCGTTAGCGTAGAGAAATGCAATTGACTTTCGTGTGCTGGTCTTGTGTCCTGAGACCTTGCTGCATTCACTTACTAGTTCTAGAGTTTCTTTTTTAAAAAATAGTTTACTTGGAATTTTCTATGTAGGCCATCCTGTCTTCTCTAAATAGGGATACATTGTTTTTCTCTTTCTGATCTGTATGCATTTAATCTCTTTTTCTTGCCTTATCGCCATGTCTGGAACTTCCAATACAGCCGCTAAAATTTTAATCAGCGTAAATTTCTAGAGATTTGCTGAAACACACTTGCCTGAATGGAATCCATCAAACTTAAAACTATGAATTTTCAACACAGTTCTTATCCAACCTTTTCAGCTTTCATTTCCTGTAATTTGGATAAATAGCTGAAAACATTCCGTCAGTGGTTATAAATGGCATCCACTCTGCAAAGCCCTTTGAAGCAGCAGTGACCTTTAATGAGCTAAATGGAACCTGACAATAAAATAAACCTAGCATAGGGACCTTATCTGTAAGACAGGATCAGGAGGTAGCAAAGCTCCAAGTATTAAGGTTTGAGGTTGACTTATGCAATACATTTGAGCATGTCATTTGTTCTTCTAGCTTTCTCCCTTTTTTCTAAATTGAGAGTAGCAATAATTTTAAACTCTGAAAATATGAAGTTCCCTCAGAGGTACCTTATTCTTATATATTAGACATCACCATTGTTAGGAACTCTTTTGACGATTGGCTTATGACAAAGAAATCTCTGCAGCTTACTATGTTTTTAGCAATAGATACTTAAAATATATGTTGACAACTCAAACTCTCATCATGTGTTATTTTGTTAAGCAAAAGTATATAATCATTAATAACACTTTTATTTACATAAATAAAGATATATATATATATATAGTGATGTGTTTTTATGTTACACAACCTCCCTAACCTACCAAATAAAGTTTATAGCCATTACAGAAAGACAGGATACTTGGGACAGCTCAATCCTTTATAGGTTTTAATGATCAGAGGTCTTAGATATATATACATAGGTCCATGTGGGCCTTAGAAGTATACACAGGTACAGTCTAATTTCTTGAAAACACTAGAAGCACCTACATGTAATATGTAGAAAGTTTTAAATCTGTAGTAAGAATCAAATTTCAGAGATTTTTTTTCCAAAAGCAAGAAACATCATCTCTAGGCAGGCTAGTCCTTCTCTTTTACAATCACTTTGCTGATTTTCCTAATTCAGTTTCTATCCATGCATTTCAATAACTTTCCTTCTTAAAACCGATGTCTTCTAGGAACCACTCCACCCGTGTTTGCAGTGCGCTGTCTGGGATGTGGACTCAACCTCTCTGAGTCTGGTTTTCTTGTCTGTAAGAGGCAATGATAATGTGCATCTCATTGGTTGCAGGGCTTAAATGCGATGGCTTCCATTGAGGGTCTGGCCCAGGGCTGGGCAGGCAGCAGGCCCTCAGTTACCGGCTTCCTTTCTTCCTTCTCTAATGTGCTGCCTTTACTTTCCCAGCTTCACCCTCTCCCCTTTCTTCTTTCTCCACCACAGAACGGGGCACTTCTTATTCTGGATGCCCCGTTCACGCAGGAGAGAGGGGAACCCTTGCCAGAAGTGTGGGCAGCTCAACCTTTTGGGAAACTTAATGTCGAAGCTACTTGTTCCTCTTTAATGCACTGCCATGGCTGGTTACATAGAGAAGGGCTGTGCACAAAGCATCCTATGTTCTTAACTGTTTCACGTTATGGTGGGGAAAAAGCTGCATAAGTGACCAGTATATTCTAGCCAGTATGACTTAATAATGCATTTGCAATCCACCAGCAGGAGGAGTAATCCATAGACATACAGTCTTCCACCCTCGCCCTAATATGATGTTGTGGCTGTGTGATGCCCAGTCACCTCCTTTGTGGTTGCAGTGAGCTGAGAACCAAGATCGCGTTTGGCACCGCAAGCAACAAAAGTACTCTCACAATACACAGCAATCACATTGTACGTACAGGCATTTTTTTTTTTCTTAAAGAAGGAAACAGCAACGATCTCAACATGTCATTTTCACCACCACTGTTATACGATTTCTGAATAGGTGAGTTTGGATTGAATACAACTGAATAAAGACTATCTATGCGAAGTATCCGTGTGAGTTGGAGATCTGCAAATGACTACTTTAATCTCACATCTAGCATAGAGTTCCCTGTTCCCCCTCTCTCATTCTACTGTAGGGATGGCAGGGCTGCTGTGAACCCTTCAACAAAGAGACAGTGGTCAATAGCTGTCTGGCTTCATCACTGAAAAGGTTTTCATTTAAGTGCAAACACTAAGGACTTTCTTCTTACTCCATCAGGCCTTTCTGGGAACTGCTTTGAAATATTCCTCCCTTGAAATATCGGATACGCCTCCATACCATTTCTGAAGCCAGATATGTTCTACCTTCATCTTCATAAAGAACCATTCATACTGACGAGGCCACTTCCTCAGCCCTGGGTGCCTGCAGAAATAAAGAGAGACCACAGTAAAGCTGTTATTATCAGAGAGGTGCACCCTGGGCCAAGTCATAGAACCTCCAGAGTCCAGGCCTCATTTGCATTGACAGCTGCTCAGATCAGCCAGAGCCAGAGCCAGGGGAGTCAGTGCCTGGGACCTCGGTAGGGAGGCAGGGACTGGAGACCCTACCCCATGCGGCTAAAGGCTCAAGTCTTGAGCCAGGCTCCTTGGTATGAATCTCAGTTCAACTGCTAATGAGCTGTGATGCCCGAGGGCTATTGGCACTCACAAGCCTCTGTGTCCTTACCTGTCATGTGGGGTGATGCTGATGGGGCTCCTCATAGGGCTGTGTGGGGAAGGAGACAATGACCCACACAGAGAACACCCGCAGAGAGTCAGTGCTCAGTGGAGGCTGGTTACCTTATCAGGAAACGTAAAGAAACGTTTTATGCATCTCTATAGGAAATGTTCACAACATGGAGTGAGCCTGTGAAATCAGTCTGCCCATGAAAAGATTTCTAGTCACGGAGCAGGCTGAGAACTACTGAGGCAAGTGAGAGCCAGCTAGATTTGACAGGCGACGTCACATCCTGGCTCGCGCTGTTTACTGACTTGCCTCTCCCCGATGCATACCCCTAAACTTCGTGCAGGGTTTTTGAGGGCAGGAGCTGTGGCTCACTTCTTTTTTTTTTTTTTTTTTTAACTTCATAAACATTTCCTTTATATCTAAAAATGGTATAAACATAATTCAAAGACCAGGTCCAAACTGGGAAAAAACATTTATTACAAAGGAAATGCAACAACAGGTTGATGATCTTTATTTATTTATTTATTTATTTATTAGAAATGGGCTCTTGCTCTGTTGCCCTGGCTGGAGTGCAGTGGGAGGATCATAGCTCACTGCAGTCTCGACCCCCTGGGCTCAAGCGATCCTCCTGCCTTAGCCTCATGAGTAGCGTGCCATCCATGCCCAGCTAATTAAAAAAAACCAATTTTTGTAGAAATGTAGTTTCACTATGTTGCCCAAGCTGGTCTTGAACTCCTGGCCTCAAGCAATCCTCCTGCCTCAGCCTTCCAAAGTGCTGGAATGACAGGTGTGTGCCACACGCTCAGTCAATCATCTTTTTAAAGAATAATTTATTTTGAAACAATAATAAACATACAGGGGAATTGAAAGTTTAGTATCCAAAACTATTTTCTTTTCTTAATCCATTTGAACAAAAGTTGCTAATCTGTCGCTATAACACCCCAAATATTATGCAGCAAAGATAGTAACGTGATTGCTGTTGTCTTAAGCAATCTACTTTTGTACTGATAACTGGAACAAAGTTTGATACCTGGAAGTGGTGCTGGTGCAACAAACCCTAATCCATGGGGCACCGGCTTTGGGCCCAGGCAGTGGGTGGAAGCTGGAAGGACCCCGAGGAGACCGACAGTGAGGGGTTATAAAATGGTAGTGCCTGACTGGAACTGGTGGTTCACACTTGTCATCCCAGCACTTTGGGAGGCCAAGGCGGGAGGATCACATGAGGCCAGGAGTTCAAGACCAGCTTGAACAACATGGCAGATGCTTTCTCTACTAAAAATACACAAATTAGCCAGGTGCGGTGGTGCACACCTGTAATCCCAGCTACTTCGAAGTCTGAGGCACAAGAATCACTTGAACTTGGGAGGCAGAGGTTGCAGTGAGCCAAGATTGTGCCACTGAACTTCAGCCTGGGCGACAGACAGAGACTCTGTCTCAAAAAAAGGTTGTGCCTGTAGGTAGTCCCAGCTACTCAGGAGGCTGAGGCAAGAAGATCCCTTGAGCCCAGGAGTTGAAGGCTGCAGTGAGCTATGATCACGCCACTGCATTCCAGCCTGCACAAAAGAACAATACCTTGTCTCTAAAATTAAAAATAAAAGCATAGGAAGGCTACTGAAAGTTGGGGGTAAAGGTACCTATATTATGTAGTGGCAGGCAAACTCGGCGATGTTGTTTGCTGGTAGGTAGAAAGGAAATTTCATATCCTTCCACTTTTTGATAGGGTCGTTTGCTTTTTTCTTGTAAATTTAAGTTCCTTGTAGATTCTGGATATTAGACCTTTGTCAGATGGGTAGATTGAAAAAATTTTCTCCCATTCTGTAGGTTACCTCTTCACTCTGATGGTAGTTTCTTTTGCTGTGCAGAAGCTCTTTAGTTTAATTAGATCCCATTTATCAATTTCGGCTTTTGCTGCAATTGCTTTTGGTGTTTTAGTCATGAAGCAAAGGAAGATGTTTATGTGGCCAACAAATATATGAAACAAAGCTCATCACCACTTGTCATTAGAGAAATGCAAATTAAAACCACAATGAGATACCATCTCACACCAGTTAGAAAGGAGATCATTAAAAAGTCAGAAAACAACAGATGCTGGTGAGGCTGAGGAGAAATAGGAATGCTTTTACACTGTTGGTAAGGTGTAAATTAGTTCAACCATTGTGGAAGATAGTATGGCGATTCCTAAAGGATCTAGAACCAGAAATACCATTTGACCAAGCAATCCCATTACTGGGTGTACACCCAAATGATTATAAATCATTCTACTATAATGACACATGCATATATATGTTTACTGCAGCACTATTTACAATAGCAAAGGCTTGGAACCAATCCAAATGCCTATCAATGATAGACTGGACAAAGAAAATGTGGCACAGGTAAACCATGGAATACTATGTAGCCACAAAAAAGAATGAGTTCATGTCCTTTGCAGGGACATGGATGAAACTGAAAGTCACCATCCTCAGTAAACTAACATAAGAACAAAAACATCACATATTCTCAGTCATACGTGGGAGCTGAGCAACAAGAACACATGGACACAGGGAGTGAAACATCACACACCTGCGGCCTGTTGGGGGTTGGGGCAATGGGAGAGAGAGCATTAGGAGAAATAATCTAATGCATGCGGGGCTTAAAACCTAGATGACGAGTTGGTGGGTTCAACAAACCGCCACGGCACATGTATCCCTATGTAACAAGCTTCCATGTTCTGCACATGTATCCCACAACGTAAAATAAAAAAAAAAAAGAAAATAGGAAATGAACCTAATGAACCCACTGATCTAGGATCTAGGGAAGATTTTGGCCCCTTCTCATTGTTTGTAATAACATGTGAGAGAAGAACTAAAGAGTTAGAGTTGAGTTTAAAAGCTAGCAATGAAATAAATAACTAAATAAAAACGTTTGTGCGCACACACACACACATCAACATCTATTTCTTTAAGTATTAAAAGCCAATGAGTTCATGTGAATAACCAATCCCAATCATTCTAGTTTCCTCTGATTGTGCCTTTAGCCCTTTTCCATGTCCTCAGGAGCCTTGCTCATTCACTGCATCCCTGCATGCAGAATCTTCCTCTTCCCATGAGGTTGTGAATTGCTCCTCCAACTCACCACTTGCCTTCTAGCCTGTTTCCATTGCTGCACCAGCCTGCACCCCAGCTCTGAGCCTCCACTTCTGGCTGCTCCTGCGTGGACACCTGCGGAAAGGCCACCCCCGCGTGCATGCGCCGTCCTCAGCCTGCACAAGCTCTGACCTCCAGGCTTGGCCACCCTCTCACTTGTGTAGACCCCTACAGCAGTGGTTCTCAAACTTTAGCAGCATATCAATTTCCTGGAGCATGCATTTTACAATACAGATTCTTGAGCCTTATTTCTGGAGAGTTTGATTCAGTAAGTAGGTCGGGGTGGGGTGAGTAAAGCCGGGTCTAAGTCAGCGTCCTACTGATGTAAGGGTGAGAGCACCACACTGAGAAATGCTGCCAACCCCAGCAGACAATATGCTTTGTTTAGAGTGGATGCTTGAAAATGTTTGTTGTGTTGGCGAAGACTCAGCTATTTTCACGGCAAGGCAGGGAATTGTCAAAGGTTGGAAGTAGGTAGGGATTGTGCCTGGAATAGCTCAGTGGTGTGTTCTCCAGAGGCATTCGCCTGGCTTCTGCGGCCACTGATAATGATCTCCACAGCCAGGCTGAGCCTGGCCCTGTTACCACTGAAGGGCAGTGCAGACCAATCAGTGTCATTGCATCAGAGGCATCAAATGGCACAGCCTGACCTTGGCTTGTTGTTATTGTATATTTCTGGGCAAATCAGTTTTAAAGCATATACACACCTTGAAAACATGGCTTGCTTGGCAAATTCTACTTCTTCTGGAGACACTGCAATCATCTGGCCGGTGAGTGTTAACCGGACACATCGGGGATCCTCCGGGTCAACGATGTTTTTTCTGCATGTGAAAAATATTTTTTGTATATTAGAAGAAGGATAGGACATCAGCCGCAATTCTAAGGATTTTATAAAATTAAAAATAGTCACATTCCTGGTTATATCATTCAGGTTATGTTACAGATAGTTACTTTAAAATACTCAGGCAGAGGCTGTGTAATAGGTGTGCTTGTGTAAGTGAGCTGTCAGTTTGGTTCTGGGGCAGTGAGATAACATCTGAAGCATGCTAGCCAAAAGTGCACATTTGAGGGTGGAGGAAATTCGGATGGGAAAGTTCCCTGATCCCCTCCAGAGACTTGGGACAGCGGGGTAGCTTGTGGTTTGGTGGGTAGGGGTGGCTTGTTTTGCTGAGCTCAAACCCTTAGAGGCGGGGGAGTACACAGGTGAGCAGGTGCAGGAGCTGGGGCGAGTGCCTTCAGGCACTGACAGGAGTGAACCTCTACCAGCCTTGGCGGCGTCTAACAGTTGCCTGCAAACTCTGGAGCCCCAGAGGGCATGTGTTACAAACGGTGCTCTTTTAGTGGTTGCCGGGGATGGCCAAGTGTTAACCAGCGCGGCGGAGAGTCAGGGTGTCATACACCCTGCCCTCTTGGTACCTGGGTTCTTGTCCGGCATCCAGGAAGAATCAGGCCATACAGACTTAAAGGATGGTGAGTGCAGAGGTTTTATGAAGCAGTGGAAGTGGCTCTCAGCGGAAGAAGGGCTGGAAAGGGGCTGATGCAGGAAGGTGATCTTTCCCTGAGGCCTGCCAGCCAGGCTCCTCTCCAAAGTCTTGCCATCTGAAGTTAAGCCATGTCTATCCATAGTCTCCAACTCTCAGTTACTTCTTCTCTAGAAGTTCAGCTGCTCTTCCCAATCCCAGCTAAGTTCCACGGTTTATATTAAGTACAGGATGTGGAGGTGGGGCAGACCAAAAAGCAACATTCAGGCACAAAATCAGGAATGTCTGTTCTCATTTAGGGCTCTGCATGTCCAGGCTTAAGGGTGGAGCCCCTGCCAGGGACCCTGCCCTTTTGCCTCCCATCCATATCAAAATGGGAGTTATTATAAAGGGAAGGATGTCTCAATTCTGCTATGAATTAAGTTCTAGAGATCTGCTATCCAGCATAAGAGTTTACAAAATGATATTGTGCACATAAAAATTTAATAAGAGGGTAGATCTCACGTTAGGTGGGTTTTTTGTTGTTGTTGTTTTTTGTTTTTTGGTTTTTTTTTTAAGCTGCAGAAACCAAACAAAGCAAATGAACACAAGAAAACTTTGGGAGATGCTGGATGTCTGTGTAACATGAATGGCATCTCTGGAGTAGCACAATGCATCTGTCTGGATCCCACAGTGACTGGAATAAGGGGTTTCAAATATTTGCCATCAGAACCTGCCCTGGAGCTTTCTTTAATCAGCAAGAAGTGTATGAGAAATACGAACAGTATTGTGATCATATTAGTCACTGCCTGCTAAGAAATGTTTCTGTGGTAACAGAATTATCTATCCTAAGACTTGTCCCCATTGTAAAGGTCACCTGGCAGTGAGGATGCGGGGAAGGAAACTTTTCCTTTTCTTTTTGAGATGGAGTCTCTTTCTTGCCCTGGCTAGAGTGCAATGGCACAATCTCGGCTTACTGCAAACTCCACCTCCCAGGTTCAAGCAATTCTCCTGCCTCGGCCTCCCAAAGAGCTAGGATTACAGGAGCATGCCACCACACCCAACTAATTTTTGTATTTTTAAGAGACAAGTTTTCACCATGTTGGTCAGGCTGGTCTCCAATTCCTGACCTCAGGTGATCCACCTGCCTTGGCCTCCCAAAGTGCTGGGATGACAGGCGTGAGCCACTGTTCCTGGCCTGTGGGGAAGGGAGCTTAAGGCTGTCATCTACCTCTAATCATGTCAGGCTGCCTATTTCTGGAAGAAGCATAAACAAGAGAATCTGATTCTCCAAATGTTGTTCAGATAGCGGCTTCCTGTAAGTTCACAAGAGAAAGCTCTTCTTGGCCACAGCTTGTGCCTTATGCATGTTGCAAGTTGTGTCCATAAGTGTTTGGGAAGATGGTTCAAGGATGAGGCAGCACGATGATAATATTAGTCACTTACATTCACATAGTGTTTTTGGTATTTCTAAAAGCCTTTGACGTATATCCCATCATCTGCTGATATAGCAAGATTTGTTAATTTTTATAGCAAGGACATTTGTATATCACCTCATTTTGTTTGATCTTCATGATAACCCTAGGAGGTTTTATTATTAGCCCTTGTTTAGAAGAAAGTGAGACTCAGAGGGGTTAAATTGTCCAGGGCCATGGAGCTCGTAGGGGTGCAGCCAGGCCTCTAGGACCCTAGTCTTCTGGTCTCAAGTAGAAAGCCAGGCTACCTCTCATCTGGTCCCTTATTTATTTATCTCTTTTTCTGAGACAGAGTCTCACTCTGTTGCCCAGGCTGAAGTGCAGTGGCATGATCTTGGCTCACTACAACCTCTGCCTCCCGGGTGTAAACGAGGCCTCAGTTTCCCGAGTAGCTGGGATTACAGGCACACACCACCATGTCTGGCTAATTTTTGTATTTTTAATGGAGATGGGGTTTCACCATGTTGGCCAGGTTGGTCTCAAACTTCTGACTTCAAGTGATCCACCTGCCTCGGTCCTCCCAAAGTGCTGGGATTACAGGCATAAGCCACCACACCTGGCCCCGTCTGGTTCCTTATATCTGGGTATATCCCAGACTTGACCTCTCCTTTATGTCCCAGATCCAATCAGTTCCCAAGGTTTATGGATTCTTTATCCCATTATCTGATTATAAACTTTTAAATATCTTGCTGGGACATTTTCTCAAAAGCTTGTCTTGGGGGTAAAAAAAAAAATACTACAACATGGGGAAAAAAAGAGCCTGTTGCAAGGATGTTTGTTATAGAATCATTTATGATGGCAAAAATTGGACGTAACCAAAATGCTCAGCAGTGGGGAAATACAAATAAAGTTTTATCAATACTAGTAACATATAGCCTTTAAAATACATGAGGTAGAACTGTAGATGTCCATGATAAAGATATAAGTAAAAATGTTACAGGCAGTGAATACATATGGGTCTGCAGCAACCTCAATTCTTACCTCCTCAAAAGAAAGAATTCAACGGAGTGGGGCATAAGGCAGAGTGAGAACTGAGGCGAATTTTAGAGCAGGAGTGAGAGTTTATTACAAAGTTTTAGGGCAGGAATGAAAGGAAGTAAAGTACACTTGGAAGAGGGTCAAGCAGGCAACTTGGGAGACCAAGTGCATGGTTTGACTTTTAACCTAGGGTTTTATATGTTGGCACACTTCTGGGGTCTTGCATCCCTTCTCCCCGAGTCTTCTGCTGGGGTGAGCCGTCTGCATATGCAGTGGTCTGCCAGCTCTTGGGAGGGGAGCACGCATAGTTCATTTATGGGAGTTGCACCCATGCTCACTTGAGGTGTTCTTCCCTTACCAGTCAGGTACTTCCCTATAAGGTCATATACCAGTTAAATTCTGCCATTTGCCTCTTAGTGCACATGTGTGAGGCCCCTCACCCAACTCCTGAGACACTACCGGGAAGCTACTGTTCACCATCGTCAGGTTTTTTCTATCTATTGGGAGACAGACTTTTCCTGGAGCTGGCTGTGACTAATTATTATTTTAGAGAGACAGTTAACTACCTGGCCAACACCTGATGGTTACCTGACATTTCTAGTGGGGGTACAAGTGGACCCTTTCCTGGCCTGCTTACGCCTGTAATCCCAGCACTTTGGGAGGCTGAGGTGGGTGGATCACGAGGTCAAGCATTAGAGACCGGCCTGACCAACATGGTGAAACCCCATCTCTACTAAAAAAACAAACAAACAAACAAACAAAAAAAACTTAGCCAGGTGTATTGGCACTCGCCTGTAATCCCAGCTACTTGGGAGGCTGAGGCAGAAGAATTGCTTGAACCTGGGAGACAGAGGTTGCATTGAGCCAGGATCGCACCATTGCACTCCAGCCTGGGGGACAGAGTGAGACTCTGTCTTAGAACAAAGAAACAAACAAACAACAACAACAACAAACGTGTCTCTGGACCCTCAAACTCCTTTTACCAAAGGGAAGGTTAAGCCTGGAGGTTGAGTCATGCAACCCCCCTCTTCCAAATGAATCGCTGTTACCAGCATTATGCATCACCCAGACTCGCCGGGAAAAGGTAAAAGGCCTCAGGGGTCTCCAAATGACTGCTCCCACAGACCATTCATAAGTAATTTTTTGCTGGCCTCTCATGAACAAGGACATGCCAATTTTAACTTTAGATCTGCAATCTAAGCCTAGCTTCTGAAACTAAGTCTGATTCTAGGCTGATAATGTCAATTGCAAGCTTTTCTTTCCAGGTGCAGAACAAAGACAAGACTGGATCAATCATTCCTCCACTTACCCAGAGACAACTGCATAATTAATTCTTCCTTTAGTCCCTTTTTTCTTTCAAACATTCACTTTATCTTACGCAAAGTGTTGACTTACTGGGCACTAACTAAAGTCTCACAAAGATATAACCATTGCCTTACCACCTACCTGCCTCTTCCTACATGCCTTTCTCCCCTTGAAGAAAATGTACGAATAGTAAACCTCCTGAAAACCTCTTTAGGAAAATAGCCACAAATAGGTCTGTGGCTTGTGTGTTCCTGGACATGCCCTGAGGTTGGCTTAACAAATCTCAATTGATTGACATTTGCTTCAGTGACTCATTTTGGTTATCAAGAAAAATATGTGCTGTGCAGCTCCATTAAAAGAAGAAAGAGGCCGGGCACGGTGGCTCACGCCTGTAATCCCAGCACTCTGGGAGGCTGAGGCAGGTGGATCACAAAGTCAGGAGTTCAAGACCAGACTGGCCAACGTGGTAAAACCCCATCTCTACTAAAAAATACAAAAATTAGTTGGGCATGGTGGCTCGTACCACTAATCCCAGCTACTTAGGAGGCTGAGGTAGGAGAATTGTTTGAACTGGGAATTGCTTGAACTGGAACCCAGGAGGCG